CCCCAAAACCCCAAAACCCCAAAACCCCAAAACCCCTCAGTCTTTCTCAAGGATTGAAAAATTCCGAATTATTTCAATTTAGATTTATCAACTGCCTTGAAAAACTGGGTTAGGTCGATTCTTTGGACTCTATAGCACAATAAACTAGATAAAACTTACCCTACTTTCTTGAGAATTTCATTAATTTTAACTTTCTTCTTATCTTCATAATATAGCCAAGACCTATCCTCGCGTTTCTTAAGATTTATCGGATCTGTCTCAAGTGGTAATCCCTTTCACTGTCTCGCGATCCAGCGTTTATAATCTTCCGGCATCCTTTCTGCCTCTCAGAACCTATCAATCTTGCCTCCGAGGGAGAATACAACATCATATATCAAATTTGGGTACTTCTGGGGGAACTTTACAGCCTTAAACTGGGCTAAATTAATAGAATTGATCCCATGGGTTCTCTCTATGAACTTCTGGAAGCACCCTTTCAGTGAAATAACTTGTTCGTGCTCGTTGAATTCAGAGTCAAGGTGCTTGCTCAGCTCGTATTTGTGCTGAGCATCGCTGTATTCATTCTCGTAGTTGGACGAGATGAACTCGAGGAATGTGAATTTGTGCTTATGAGCTCTGTTTTCGATTGTGCTTGCTTGACGGGCTTTGAGGGAGGCTAGAGAGGTTTAGAGGGTTTGTATGGGTTGGGAATTTTGAGGGAAGGGATTTTAGTGGTTTTTGGGGGAATTTTTAGTGGAAGTTGATCATAGTTGGAAGATTTTAGGCAAATTTTTGTGTTATGCTTGAAATAAGCTGGGATATGAAGAATACTGGGTTTTTTAAGGCTAATTTATTGGTGTTTCTTATAGAATTAATGCTATCAAAGTAAAAATCCTTTATAAGGCTGTGAATGTTCTATCACTTGAAATTTTTGGTATTTAGAAGGTCTCTAACTCTGATTATTTTTAATACATCCTAAATGCTCTGATTGATAGTGAATTTATTTGCTTTACAATATGTGTAATTAGCTGTTAATTTTGTCAAACGCTTTCACAAAAATTTCTAGCTTGGCAAAATCAAGAAGACATCTGACGATTGAAGTTCATAGTATAACAGGGACTAAGAGTAAACGAATTTTGTCTTAAGTAAGTAGGTTTGTTTCAACTTCTCATTCAGTTGCATCATACGCTTCAGCTGTTAGATACCTTAGTCTTTGTTTTAGGTAAAAATTTTGGAAAATATTTGGTATAAATTAGAATGGATTGCACATATTTAATATATGCGAAAGCAGGGTTAAATCATTAAAAATCTCTTTACTAGTATTTTTTCAGTCTTTCTCTCTGTGTCCTACAGACTTGCCTACATTAGTCATTCCAATTGTGTTTCTGTGTCTGTGGTACTGAGTCTTCGGCCCTTTGTATTCCCCAGGTCTTAGAGAATGCATTTTTGACTCCAAAACATCAAGCTGGGAATTTTCAGGTAAATGCTGATTTTTAGCATAAGATTTAGCTTTAAATTTTCCATTTGGAGCTTCTCAGTAGCTATGGGAGGTCTTCACCAGAGAGGCATTGGGTTGTCTTGTAATGTGCTGTTTACTCTATATAATAAAAACTAAGATTTAAGCAAAATGAGTGTAAAATGTAATCTATACTCCAAATTTAGTGCCATAAGAGCTTTAGAAATAGGAAAATTCAGTTAATCTCTGAGACAGCAAGTCTTACAGCCAATACTCTATTAATAATATTGAGAACGACCATTGAATAAAACGGACGCAGGAGATCATTTCGAATGAAATCAATTCTAAATTATCAATAGATTTGATTCCACTTGCCTTTAAAAATTTAAATCATAGCTTTTAAATTAGTAGATGTAGCTTTCCCAGTTTAATATCTTTGCTATTATTTCAAAGCTTTATGGCAAAACCTGAAAGAAAACTATGTTTCTAGTTGAATTTTTAAGTGGGATTTCTTTAAGGAGTGACTAAATATCTTGAAAGAGTTAAATGAATTTGAATTGTCAAAATTTTCAATAGATAAAATACACAAGATATGGATTATTAATTAAAAGTTTACTTGAAAGACACGGAATTATAACAATAATGTTTTCATGAGAGTACTAAATTTGATAAGAAATGTAAGGAGAATCAACAATTTTGGCATAGATAAAGAAGCTGTCAAATAACCAATCTTAAACTCAACCTAGCCTCCATAAGAATACTAAATCCTTTACTTAATAATTCTGCTTATCTAGACCATAATAACTAAAAATAAGCATGAAAGAGACAAAATACCGCCTCAAAAATCCTCAAAATTATCCAAAATAACTCATTCCCCTTCCTAAACCCTCAAAGACCCCTTCCAAATCCCTCACCCCCTAAATCTCTCAGTACTCACCTGAACTCTTGCCCCAGGAGGAACTCCTGGGGAGGCTTCTGCTCTATATTTGGCCCCAGTCTTGGAGCTCGGCTTCGGCATCGTTGGAAGAATATGAGACTGTGTGTTAGTCAATAAGTGAGGCCGTGGAATGCTACAGGTGAGGAATTATAGTACTTTTGGTAGTCATGGGAAGGATGTCTAGTGTGATGGCTTGTGCCTACAGAGGAATTACGCTTTAGGTAATTGTCTTTGAATCTTAAACGCTTTTTAAGCCGATTTGAGCTCTTTGATTCTAAGCTTTGGGTGTTGTTAGATTTGTACATTTTTGAGAGATGGTGGTTGATGGATCTGTAAGTTCTTTTGTGGGTTTTTCTACGAGGTTTGTCTATATTCAGGATTAATCTATACCATCGGCCATGTTCCAATGCTCAAAATTCAAATATACTATGCTGAGATGTCCTCAAAATTACCTTGAACCACCGGGAGCTGGACTACTTTAGTTTCCTTCTTGGTCTTTTGTTCCTCTATTTGGAGTACTTCTGCATGGCTCTCAGGTTTCTCTGGCTTTAGTGTTTCTGTGTTGGTTTTCTCCACATCCATTACAAAGTTTGATTCATTTTGCTTGCTTCTAATTTACGAATATGATAAACTGCTTCAAAAAGTATTAAAAACATAATACAAAAACTCTTACTTTGAACACTATTCTCTTTTATAGTCTTCATCAAAACGTCTCAATCATTCATATTGAGCACATCTGTTTCCTTGACATGGTGCATGAAGGTGAAGATATCGCTGGTGGAAATTTTCTTATCATTGTCTTGATCAAAGAAGTCAAAACATATGAGGTACTTTTCATCGTCAGGGAGAGCCATGAATTTCTCCATCATGTCACAATACTGCTGAAATTTCATAGTATTGCCGTTAAACTTAATGTAGTTTAGGATGATCTCTCCAATTTTCTTTGGGTATCTTCTGTTCAGGAAGTTTTTAAAATCCCCTAGCTTGATGCTAACGTTGTGGATATTCTGGGCTTGCTCACTGGTGTTGATGGAGTTACCTGAATTAGCAATCGCTCTGAAAGCTTTCTCGAGTCTTTTTAAATTTGACTGTTCCTGAGTTGGACTCTTTAGTTTATTTATACTTTTTACTTAGTGCTGATTTGAGCTCTAAGTTTCCGCCGAGGAAAGAATTTTTACGGCCTGCTTGGATCGATTTCTGGGTTTCAAGTTGGTCTTTATTTGTAGTAGGTTGCTTTATTCTTTTTGAACATTTCTTGAGCACCTCTCGTTGGGTTCTGCAGCCGATGCTCGAAGAGGCTTAGCTTGGTCTTTTTGTTAGGAAGATCTTTCATAAAAGAGGTACGAAAATCAGAGTTTACTGTGAACTTGAACTTCTCCTCTTTTTGACCTGGTTTTAAAGGCAATATTGATATTGTTTTCTCCATTTTATGCGAACCTATAAGTTTTTATAATAAATTTTCAATGATTTCTTAAATAAATGGGGTTTTGGGGTTTTGGGGTTTTGGGGTTTTGGGG